TTCTTTTATATATATATATATATATATATATATATATATTCCTCGCTTGAAAAATGGGAACGTTTGTATAAGAAAATACTACAAACTGTGAAAGAGTCATGGAAAAATGCCCGCATTCTATACGGCCACGCGAAATTACAAAATAAAGTAATTATAAAAAGTTGGCAGACAAAAGAATTGTACGGAGTTTCGTTCTGCTTGACGAACTGCAATCTATTTATATGATTATCTTCTTTCGTCTCTTCCTCGTTTCCATCCCTACCTATTTCTTCATTTGTAATTCCAGCCGTCCACAGCACGAAGGCAATGCATGCAACGCAAAATGTAATTTCCAGGTAAACTAGCCGGAAAGCTCCTCCCCCTCGCGAATGACCATCACGGTTTTAATATGTAGAATATAAAGCTCCAATGAAAAGTTAAGAATACGAAGGAGATTAATTTGAAACTACGTTTCAAGCAAAATTATTATTACAAGATTATTCGCGTTTGTTGTCTCGTTGATAATACCTCGCTTATAGTATTTCATGTTTGTCGTATTAATTATCGTATCATTATAAAAATATTAAATATCGAAACATTCACGTTCAATGTGTGTAACAACGCTTTTTATAAAAAAGAAAGAAAATAATGATTACAAAACGATCGAAAGATGTCGAAGTATCTAGATTTCGTAATAAAAATTGTGAGAGAAACTTAGGTGCAAAAAAAAAAAGGAAATATAAAAAGAAGTAATAGCTTTCCATTAAAATTCGCTTTAAAAGTGATTATGCAAGAGAAGCGCACTTAATGAACGAAAAATTAAATAGCAACCAACCTAGCAGCTCTACTTTCTGATATTACAACATTATAACGAATTTTGAATGTTTGGAGACCATTTATTTAATTAAAAACTTTACGCGAAATTCTACTTCATTCTCTCCCTTGTTAATTTTTTAATTCAATTTTAAACCATATACATTCATATAAAATATATAACATTTATGTAACCAAAAAAAAAAAAGAAAAAATCTCAATTCAATGTAAAGAGGATTAATTTTTAAACGCGTTTAAAAAATTATTCACCATCGCTATAATATTATTTATAAAGCGAAAATTTTACTTTTAACGAACTGAAATTTTCCATTGACTCGGCAGAGACTTTGTCCTCTGAATTTTTTTTTTTTTCTTTTCTTTTCTTTTCTTCTTTTTCTTTTTCAACCTGTCAAACTTTTGCGCGCCGGTAAAAATCGTTTCTCGTACTTGTCAAATCCAAGTCTCCCCGGAATATTGCGGGCCGGGATAAACGAAGGAAGACGATCAAAGTCGTGTCTGTTAAGTTTCACGATGGAGTCAATTAAAAGTTGGGGAAACTTGGAGTCTTCTCGTCGTGCATACGAATCCTCGTCAGCGTAGCACGCGGGAATTTTTCACTCTACCGGATATTACATCCGTCCGTGAACCGAGAAATTCTTACGAGCACGAATCGTGCTCACGATATTTCCATTAAACGTTTACTATTTTACAGAATATATCCAAATATAAGCCGAAAATCCGAATATACATAATCGTAGTATCGTCATGTTACAACGTTAATTAAAAACGAAAATTGTTATGTTGTAATATAGCAAAACTTTGTCTCCCTTCGAATCACGCTTTTTTTGAGAGCGATAAAATATTAACTAATTTTTCTTTTTGCTCTCAAAATATTATACATTAATAAAATTACGCTTATCCACTCATCCACTCGAACAATTTCCAACAATGATTTTATGAATGTACAATAAATTATGGATTTCAAAAAAAAAAAAAAAGGGTACAGCTCGAGTGTAATTTTAAAATTAAAAAATTAATATCTAATCCCTTCTACGACAAAATTACAACGAAAGAAGCAATGTTTACGCGAAAACATCATTAAAACGTTCACGAGATTTCTAATAATAAACGAATAAAATTACAATTAACAACGAAAATATAATACCAGTTTCCCGTATATAAGAGACGAGGGAAGAGAGCGGAAAGAAGAAAATTTAAGCCGGTAAGAGACGCACACCCCTCGCCATCCTATCATCCATCCGACTGAAACCCGACTCTATATCCACTCACCGTCTGGGAATTTCATCTTAACTGGGAAATGCAGTTGCAGATGCAGGAAAGACCGATCCTCCAGAAAGACACCGATACCCGAAGGGGGAAAAGAGGAGGAGAGTGAAGCGAGCGTAAGAGCCAGCCCGAGGAGGAGGAACGAAAAAAAAGGAGGAACGAAAACGAGATATCCGACGAATTTAATAATTTTCCCATCCTGGCTATCCGTTTCTATCTCCAACCCACGCTGGACAAGCTTTTCCCTCGCCAAAACGAGCATCACGCGTGCAAATTGCAACACGCCCCGGTGGTCTTTATTAAGTTCCTCTCGGTCGAGCTGATACGCACAGGTAGGTGTCCCCTGGCCATGGTTACCATGGCCCATACGCGACGAAAACAACGCGGACGAACGTGCAAACGTGTGCGTTACTCGAAACCCTTTAACGTCAAGTGCGACACGTCCGTGGTAGTTGTGCAGCGAGGGCCAGGTTTCGTTGAAACGGCGTTTTAAGGGTTTGCATATATAGATATCCTCGGGAGAGAGAGAGCGTACTTTGCACAGGATTTGTATCAAGCGCGGCAATCTCGTTACTTGCCCTCGCAAGCGCGTTGTAATTAAGCGGGGGAAGGTCGATTCGTTAAAATTATTCGCCGTTTTATTATACGGACGGCGAAAAGTGGCCGGCTTCGGGCGAGTGGAACAGGTAAACGAGGCGAATTACTCTCGCCACCGTGTCGTCAATTATGCAACGAACGGATGAAGATTTTCTTTGTGAACCGCGCGGGTTATTAGAGGGGCGAATAACGAGGCTTGGAACGTGTCGATTCGGTGGTTTATTCGATACGCCGTTTCCTTATGCGGTTACAATACCATCTCTGCCTCAGATTTAACTTCGTCAACTTCAACGTCCCCACCCTTTCTTCCTTTTCCTCGCGCCAAATTTTAGTTTTCCAGGAATAACTCGATTTCAATCGTAATTTACGTGCCAATGTATTATTCACATGTATATATATACATATATATCTTCTTCTCCTCTCTCGGGGAATCCCAATTAATACAAGTCTATTCCATTATTCAATTAATCGTAAGAAGAATGCAATTGAGCTAATGAGCGAGGAGAAATCGGATTTGGTGGACGGTTTGGCGGCTATCACTCGTTCAATTATGCCCTTATCTTCCTCTATCCGATAAAATATAGTGGGAGTGGACAATTTTGTCTTTGAGGGGGGAGGAGATCCGCGTCTCTGTGCGCGTACGCACACGTCGACTACCTGGTAAAGTCCTTAATTAAAGGTTTCCCCGGTGGGCGAAATCGCTCAAGAGTCGGATTAGTCCCGCGAAATCCCCATTAAACTTAAAATGAATTTCCACTCGGCTCGTGGATATACGCGGAGGCCAACTATGCGCGCGTGTGTACACTTGTACACCTATATAAACCAGCTTATCCACACGTACACATACAACCCTTATTCCTACGAGGCCTTGTGTTTGTACTTGTGTGTCTATACCTTCTAACCGAGAGCCCTAAATAAAACCTGGCGGATATCTGTATGCGGTGAACGTTGCCACTGTCGTTCGCGCTGATTGCCGTGTCCCGGTCCAACATTCGGGAGGAGGTGGAGCGACTGGACTCTGTTTTCCAGGGACGGGGAGGGGGGATGGTTTGTATGTTCCTGCTGGCCGTTCGAGGGGTGGCTTGCAAACAAACCGCGTTCTGTTATTTGATTCCGCCCGCCATTTCGGGGACCGAACTTTTCCAAGCCGACCGCGAATAACGACGGATCCACGCCTATTCCGCGTTCGTTTCTCGATCGCGGGGTGACGGATTGGTAATCGTGATATACGTGACTGCCGCGCTTTCGTATTTTCTCGAGGTAATTTTATTTCTATCGAGATAATTATTTGTTTTATACGATTTTCGAAAACACGAGTTGGAAAATTAGTTGATTGATAGACGAGATTTTTGTTTTTGCGCGTAAATGTGTGTGATACACGCGTGTGTAAATATATTGGTATATTTTTAATATTGGAGATGATTATATTTGTAGAGTCGGTAAGTTGTATATAAGTAATGAAGGATAGGAGAATATATTTGGAGAGGGTTGAAATACTTCGATTTTAGATTAAAGATCGTCTGATTTTGTCCAATTAAAAATCAATTGATTCTCCCAAAAATATTCGAAATGAAATAAATAAACGAGTTAAATGTAGCGAGAAATCTATCTCGATCGTTTACGATTTTAATAAGTCGACTGGATTATCGTTAAATGTAACAAACTCTATTTTCATTAATTGGAAAATTTTATGTAAATACATTTTGAATCGTCGTGATATTAAATTGGGCAAAATTCGTAACGTTCGTTCACGGGTCTCGATCGTTATATAGATATGATAGTTTGAATTTATTAGTTCTAAAATGGATTCTATAACCTGATACGATAAACTTGGATTAATAGTGACAAGCGTATGCTTACTGATGGCGTAGAATTTAATATACGCAACTGGATGGTTCTAATCGTAAAACCAAGCATTAAACCAGCACGCGACAAAATTGTGCCTTTCATGACTGTCGGTGTATAAATTTTATATTTTTTGCACACGCTCGTAAAAGCTTCGCAAAGTCCTATTCTGTATCGGTTATACGCTGTCCTTTTTATGTTGCTCGTAAATTCGCTAAGATTTCACGCGTGCATACGCATCCACGCGTGTGTACAATTGTCATTGTGAGTTGAAATCACGAAAGTTTCTATGAATATTTTTCCTTTAATTTAATGTATTTAACAACGGATAATATTAATATAATCATTTAATGGAAAAAAATTGATCAATATTTTTGTAAGACAAAAATTTTTTCTAATCTAAAAAATTAAAACAAACTGTTTCCACGAACTTTTTTAAATTCGATTTCTTCGCGCTCGTTAACTCGAAAATTTGAAAATATTCTTTATAATTAATTCGTCGATTTAACTAATCTTGTGCCAAAAATATCTAATTACATTCGTTATTATGACAAAAATTGCGATGCTATGAATTTTAACATACGAAACTTTCTTTATCAACCATTTATTCTTTATGAAGAATGTGCCAAGAGTCTAAAAATATTAAAAAAAAATAATATTACATCTAAAAAATTATCGCGATTAAAATTAAAAAAGAAAAAGCAATACTACGAATAATGTATACTTGAATCATGATGACATAGGCAAATAGTTTTTGGCGGAGTCTAACTACATTCCCATTTATCTTCGAACAATATACGAATTGTGTCTAGAGATAATAAGGTATTATTAATGTCGTCACGCCACAGCTCTCTAATAACTTGCTAACTTTGCAAACTATTCTATTTCTAGTCATATATATATATATATATACACCTATGCCATTTGTCCGATTTCGAAATGATAATTATTTTTGCACGGTATATCTTGTACATTGTAAATCTTTGAATATTTTAAAAATTATTTTTTAATTTAACGCGGAAACGATAACTCGCTTACTTTCGGTTTGTGAAAATATTCTAAACTTTTAGAGAATGAAAATTTTCGCAAGAATATCGTAATTTCTACGTTAACTCGATATATTAACAAGAATGGATGGATCTTTTTCAAATAAAAGGTAATTGGAACACATTCAATTAAGACGATGCTTATTCGTGCATTTTATTAAATGTATGCTTCACGAAAAAGAAAAAAAAAAGAAAAAAGAAAGGAGTTAAAAGTCACTCATTTTGTCCCATAACGAAAAAAAATCAGTTCGTGTATTACGTAAATGTCAAGTGATACTTTTCCCTTTGACGCGGTCATAAGCAGCACAACGTAAGATACGTTTATGAGAAGAGGAACGCTTTAAGTAACTCGATAACTGGTTGCACCTGACAGATGAAGAGACTTAGTCTCTCTCACCCTACGAACACCCTGAAAGGCAAACTTAAGTTCCAAGAATGAGAAACTTTCGAGAGACGTCGCTTTGACTCGTTCCTCACTTTATTCCGTTACCCCTTTCTCGCTATCCACGCATAAGTGCCGTTTCGAAACTTTTGCTTTTAATTGCCAATTTATATTCGCGAGAGAATTATAACAGCTGTTAGCCAACGATAAAAAGTTTCGCGCGATAAAAATGTATAGAATGTTATAGTTTAGGTTATAGTTTCCGCGAATTGTGAAAATATTTTTCTTTAGAAAATATTCTTTGAAAAGCCTCGAATGATGTAGGATAAACGACCCAGTTATCAAAATAAACGAATAAAAGATAAATAATTTAGACTCGAAAGATTGTCAATTACATAATAAATGTATGTATTAATCGAATAATAAATAATATATAGCTATGATATATAGCTATATAATGTATAGTTATGAAAAGAAATATGTAAATGAATAAAAAACAAATAATTTAGATTCGAAAGATTGTCAATTATATAATAAATGTACGTATTAATCGAATAATAAATATATTATTCGAATAATAAATAATATATAGTTATGATATATAGCTATATAATGTATAGTTATGAAAAGAAATATGTAAATGAATAAAAAACAAATAATTTAGACTCGAAAGATTGTCAATTATATAATAAACGTACGTATTAATCGGATAATAAATATACTATTCGAGTAATAAATAATATACAGTTATGATATATAGCTATAAAATGTATAATTATGAAAAGAAATATGTAAATGAATAAAAAACAAATAATCTAGACTCGAAAGATTATCAATTATATAATAAAACGTACGTATTATTAATCCAATAATAAATATAATATACGAATAATAATTAATATAGCTATGAAAAGAAATATCTATTTACATTTTACGCAGCAGAAAAATAAACGCAAAATGGCTTCCTAAATACTACGATTATCGATAATTACGCGTCATAATTTCGATTATCGAATTAGCAAAGGGAAGTGCGCCGCAGTTCGGAAAAATCGAAATATATCGAAACGTATGTAGTAGAAGAAATGCGTAGTAGACACGAATGCATATTTCCAATTTTTTAGAAAGATTATATTATGAAAAAATGAAAAAATATGTACTTTTATGCTATATACTTGTATGTATATGGCAAACAAAACACGTATCTCGAGGAAAAATATTAAAATTTCTAAACACGAATATCGATAGTTGCCACGTCACAATTTCCATTATCAAATAACGAAGGGAAAAGAAATGCGCAGTTCAGCAACAAGTCGAAACATGTCGAAACATGTCGAATATAATACGAACGCGTACTCCCAATTTTTTCGGAAAGGTTACAACGAAAAAATGTCACGTACTTTGAGCAAAACATTGAACAAGGAAGAGAAATATATATAAACATTACTGATAGACGCAGTATCGAAACATGTCGAAATACGTAGATCGAAATATATATTACTAATGTAATTTAATTTAATAGAATCAAATTGATATCGTACGTTCGTTTCAATATGGATAAAAAGATTATAAAAATCTATTCTAAGCAAATTTTTGTTAAACTTACCAAGAAAAACCTTCTTGAAGAAAAACTACGTCATCAGCTACGAATGCATGTGTCGTGGCATGTGCATGCTGTAAATCATTTTTCTTTCGATGTTATTCCGACAATCTGCACAAATGAAAATCAAAATCGTAAAATAAATGTATAAAAAGAACTATATTAAGATGAAGCAACAAGTGAATTCAAACCTAGATTCAATAAAGCTACTACGTAGTATCGATAACCTCACAATCAAATACACAAACGACAAACAAAGAACACGAAAAACTCAAAACACTAATTAATTTCACTATTACAATAATATAAATGGATTATTAAATAAACAAAACTGATTAATTTATAAAATTTAGTAACAAAATATGAATAAAATTATTCGAATCACCGAAGCCGGTGCGATACACGTCCTCTCACGATGATTATCCACAGGAGAATGACGTCGCGCGCCACAGCTCACCTAGCGGCTTTCTGATTGGTTGATATTATAAGCCAATTCTTGAGTAAAAATCGCGCGAAAAATTAAAATGTTATATAATACATTTTAAATATTTTAATTAAAAATATATTAAAAATAAATTATTAAAATTTATAAAATAATAATAAATAAAATAATAATTTCATTCTTACATTAAATATTTAATATCTATTAGCATAATAATAAATAAATTGTTCCAAATTTTTAATAATATCTTATTTAAAAATTACTAAATATTTTCTTCATAATTTTATAAAATTATAATTTTTAGAAAAATAGTTTTTTTGCATTATTTATTGTTCAGAATATAATAAAACTTCAAAAATAAAAAAGCATAATAAATTATCGTAAATAATCGATCATATTATATCTCGTAATATCAATATTCAACAAACAGGTCTATAATTAACACCGTTCAAAAATTTGAAAGAGATTAATCCGCGAAAAATATAGAATAAACTTCGGCAAAATAATATTTCACAAGCGAAAATTTTTCTTTAATTACAAAATTACCCTTTCTAATTAGAAAAATTGCAAAATTCAACACGTGATGTTACTTCAAGTAAACCTAATTAAAAAAAATTCGTACGTGAATATTCGTCGTGTGCTTCGAACCCCTCTTAGATCTGGCTAGTATTATTACCGCCCTTTCTTCTATAGGAGCATAAGTCGTCCAGTAAATTCCTTTTTACGACACCGTCCTCGATTTTCTTCGTATAGGGTAAGGATGTACTATTCTCAGGGGCGATTTCGAGTCCTTCGTCCTTCGTTCCTCTTACAACTGACGTTGTAAAAGTGCTCACATTCAGCGTGGAACACGTTGAGAAGTTGGCGGGAGAAAAATATCGTGCCAGAGGCATCGCTGACGAGTTATTACATATTAGGCAATAGAACCTTATTTCTTTAAGAAATATTTGTAGTGGCGCCACGTCGTCACCTTGTCTCGACATATTACGTAATATGATTCAAGTTATAATTCAAGAAGATTCATCGACATATATAGCAAGATGAGAAGAATCATTGTGGCGTAAGTAAGTCACGTACGAAACATTTTTAGAAACTTATACGTATAAGTTGATATTTTATAAAAAGGAACACCCTCTTTGTATCTATTCTCCGATTTTAGTGATAGGATTTTTATCCCTTTATTTTGTACGTTGAAATAAAAAATATACCGAGCAATTTAAAATAACGTGAAATCCTTAATGATTAATGTAGCATATTTTATTTATTTATTTTTTTTTTTGTTAATCGAAATTATTCCAATATGATATTCAACTCTGTACATGATAAATCTGTTTAACGTGTTAATTTAATACAAATAATATAGTATCGTTCGAGCATAATGAAGTTCATCCAAATATTTATTCGTTTATACATTTTGCTCAATATCGAATCGATCAATGTTCAGCAATCAATTGAAATTTATTTAATTCTATAAACGAAATATTGCCAATATTAAAAAGTTTGTTTATCACTTTTGTTTTAAACAATAATATGTTTAACAGAAACAAGATGATTGTCCTTTTATTAAACATTTCAATATTAAATCATTTTATTTCATCAATTTGTCTACTCATCCAACGAATGTTATAAATTACAAATTCATAATACTGACTGAAATTATTATTAAAGAAAATTACTACTTTAGAAATATTTAATTAGCTTAATAAACATTTACTTTTTCGCCATTATACTTTCATTTATTATTCATATATACATTGTAATTGTACATATAATTGCAATTGCAACAAATATCTCGATCCTTTCGAGTTTAGAAATTATGTTATATTAATTATATTAATTTACACTTTATATAGTATCGATTTATACCGATAGATGATTTATTAATTCTGCTATCTTTATACGAGGATTTTCTCTTCATCTCGCGATTCTCCCAGTGATAAAATGAAATCACGAGGGTTCATGGCATTGATTAGACGATGAACACGCCGATAAGCCCCGAAAACACGCAGAATCACGGTTCAAATTCACCTAATTATGGTAATGAACTAAATGGATATGTCGACAACCTCTGCTCTCGTGAAATCATTATGCAGATTCGATAGAATTAACTGTTAATCACAATTCTGCGTAGATATTCTTACCTACTGAAACCTATTTCATAAAACGATAGAAGAAAGAAGAATTTGAAACATAGTATTTGGAAAATAAAATATAAATGGAAGGAAAATTCAAAAGACAATAATCAACAACAACATACATCATAAATAAATAATTTATGATAACGTACGTAAATTTTAATAATCATATCTATAAAGTATAACATCATATCTATAAAGTTATTAAAGTATACACAACCAACTTTAAATCCAACTTATGGATCCAATTTTATCATCCCATTAGTTACCTCATTATATCTTCTCCTCCATCCCCGACAACCGATAAAAAATCAAAATATCACGGCTTCCAAGGTGGTCAACTTGTTGAATACAATACGTTCCATAAACATTCTAGAATTCCGCCCACCTTGGTGAAACCAGCTTCCCTTCCCAAAGTGATACAGCGAGGGGCAGCATTAACCCGGGCTGGCAATCGTTCAGCCAGTTCAATTCGAAAAACCAGGGGCTCCATATCCCAAGATGCCCGAGAGAGATTCGAAGGGTTGCTCTCGCAAGCCTGGCCAATTAAACGAGAAAACAATCGGAGGGAAAGACTTTCCTCCCCGACCTCCACCTTTATCCACGACTGTGGAATGGACTTGTGCTACGAGGTCTGCACCGGTTCCATGGCGCGCACAACTCGCCCATAAAATACATCTCTGGAGCGCGGCCGTCGGTGGAATCCAAACGGCGCATTTGCGCAATGGAACGTGCAACCAGTGCACGACGACGTTCCCTCGTATATACACAATGGGAGTGGGAGTGGGACGGGGCGAGCGGAGGTATTCGAGCAGAAGCGAGACGGCCGCACGAGGCAAATGTTTCCGCAGTGCGTACCGGCCGTGCCGCGGCTTCCATTTATGGGATTGCATGAAAAATTCCGCACGCATATTCCGCGATGTTTCGTTCCTCTTTTTTTACAACGGGCCTTGTTATCGTCGGTCGGCCGTCTCTAAACCGATTGCGCATTCAACCGTGCGCACACCTCCACCGCTTTGTGCCCTCCTCGCTGTACTATACGCGGCCGGAACCAAGCCAGTGTCTAAACTTTCCATCCATCTTCTACGCGGGGATATAACGCGAACCATTCCACTTGAAATGATATAGAAAACGCGTCTGAATCCAGATTTCTTCTTCTCCTTTCTACCCCTCCTCCTTTCCTTCCTTTGATGTTCTTCCTTCAGGATTCTTTAATGATATGGGGAGAATTTGATTCCAAGGCAAGGATTTCTGATTTTACGCTATGAAATTCCGCGACGAAGGGATGACGGCAGAGACGATTCCAGATTTAACGCTATAGGATTTTCCTCTCCTTTGAACGAGAATGCTTGATAAAGTATTAACGGGTACTCGTCGGTGATTCGACGCTTTATGGAATATTAATAACAATTCATCGTTGGTTCCCCTTCTGGTAAATTTTAATTCGCAAATGAATCGTATTATATATATTCTTCCCGAGCGTGTTTTAGATTGCAATAGGATTCAATGTTGGAAAAATAAAATATAGAAGAAGAATAAAAAGGAGAATAATATTAATTCTATTAGAGAAGAATTACTCGATTCTCGTACTCGAGAACGGAGTAGCTTTGACCTCGCGTCCCTTTCTCGTCCCTTAAATTCTCGTCCTCCAGTTTTATATTCCCATCCCCCTCGCGTGCAACCCCTCTCAGCCGAACTCTGCATTCCATCGGGCTTGGTTTCACGCGCAAGTACCACAGCCTTCCTTCCCTTTCGTAACATCCAACTAATTTAGTCGTACAAATAGCGTCGCCGCAGCATCGTTTGATCAAACGCGCCATTAAGCGAAATAATGAAGCTGATACCACGTAACGGGGTAAGCGTCGAATCTATTTCTTCGCACGATAGCAGATTAGATTACAGCGATTATTTTTTTTTTTTTTTTTTTTTTAATAATTTCAACGATATCTTCAACATACGCGAAACGCTGTGGAAAATTGAAATGATCCAGGATTGAATTAAGGTAACAGGCTATTCAGCGTAATGTAATAGCTCGGGTGTCATACGTATTATAATATTGCAGTGGCGATAATCTGCGTTAAAATATCTTGTTAATAAATTATATTGTGGATTAAAATCTCATCGTGCATACACGCCGGTTTGATTTATCGCGTGTATTAAATCGACCGATAAATTTATTCGAAACACGCGTGTTTGTACGCAGAAATTTGATCCCGATGCGAAAATTTAACAATCGGGCAGATTTTATTTATTTATTTTATTCTATTTTATTTTTAGGCAATCGTATATTTGAACGTTCGTGGAAGAAAAGAGAGAGAGAGAGAGAGAAATAACAAATAAAAAACGTAATAAAAAAAGAGCAATAAAAAAAGTGCATATAATAGCTAAATGATATTCGAATCTTGCAAGGAAATTCTAAATAAAAAATCATCCATCGAAAATTACTTTTGAAATTACTTCTATAAATAAATAATTGTTGTTGTTGTAATGTTTCAAATATAAAATTTTTCTTTCATATCTAAATAATTAATTATCGATAAGGGATACTCGATTTCGTGAAAATAAAATTATTTAGTTTGCAAATATTCGAACGGTGAGAAAGATATACCTTTATTTCGTGTGCAATTTTATTTACGCGGGAATGGAATTTCGCGATCGATCGCACAAATCATATCATACGTTTCATTATTACGTATCATCTGCGAATCGGCAACCACCGTTCCAGTTAGCCCACTAACTTCCGCAATTCTGGCTATTCAAAACGATCGTTCACGTTTATAGGAATGCTGGTGATGTAAAATGTCGATGGTGTCACTTTGGGATTGGCGTTGAATGGACTAAAGCTACACAAACGAGCTGGAATCCAT